GCTAGATGTTTCCTGCGACAGACTGGAAAACCAAGCCGGGGAAACCACCACATTTCACAGCTTTGGAACCACGTATGTTCGTTTTGACATTTGGGGGGTGTTACTCTGTTCGCGCGCCTGAAACGCGCACGCGAACAGACGGTTTACGTGGCTAACGGGTTAGCATGCTAACCGGCTAGCATGGTTACGAGTGCATGTCTTCTGTGACTTTGACAGTGGCTTGTCAGAAGACAGGGGCCCCAGCTGTGTTTTTTATTCTGTGAGATAACATTTTCAGACTGGCCAGCTTGAGCGGTTCAGACAAAGTTGCTTTATGTTTGCTGTAACAATTTCTGCAGATAGAAAAATATTAATTTGGGCAATGGTTGCATCTCTGTGGCTTTGCAGGCCCCTCACACCGCGAAAAGCTGCCCGTTTAGCTAAAATCATATATTTTTTAGCAATGGAGAAGACTTACGTTTTGTGCTTTGATTTTACGAAACGTCTGGTTTGGTTTTCTACTAGTTTTAAATCGATTTGATTTAGTTCAAAGCAAAGTTCCATGAACACAAATATTCCGCTAGGGGTCACTATATCCCAGATTTAACTCTTAACTTCTTCACATCCGTTTTGTTTTAAATTCATAATGAACAAATCACCCTGAGAACAATTATTTATGATTTATTATTCTTATTCCAATTTGACTGAAAGCTTCCAGTTTTTATGAGTTTTTTATGGGTGAACTCAGTCAAAGCAGTGTGTTGTTTTACAACCTTTAAACGCATGTTTTTAAATTTCACATCAGATAAATATTTCACAACATCATAGCATAGGTTATTTGCGTTTATCTGTAGTGATTCCAGCCTGAATGGCTGAAATCTGTGCACTCACGGCTAATTTTTCCCCAGGTTTCTGATTTCTGTTGTGTTGAAACAGCGGTTACTCCAGACGTCCAGCCTGCACACAGCGTTTGGGGGCAGGAATCGCTCCGCCTGCGTCCAGCTGGGCCGCAGACACCAGGGAAAGCTCCTCTGGGTGACCGCAGTCAGACACAACAGCTCACAGGTGAGGGAAGGTAGCCATTTCAGACAGTTTGTGTATAAACCAATAGATTTATACAGAAATGGCTTTTTAATTCACTCCCCACCTACTTAACTTTCAGTTTAGTTTACCCTTACATTACTTTAAAATCTGCTGAATGGAATGAATAGATAGATAGATAGATAGATAGATAGATAGATAGATAGATAGATTACTTTATTCATCCCTGAAGGGAAGTTGGTTGGCGTAGCATTCTGGTGGTAGGATACTATATATTATAACAAATATATATAAATTAAGAACTGTCCTGTTTTGATTGGGACAGATGAAAGATATAGACATATAGTGGGTATTTCATAGTCTTTTCAGGCTGAGTTGGGTGGATAAATACAATTTGTTATAACTGAAAAATTCTTCTAGTTATATCACAGCTGGCTGATATAATTGAATTATGCTAACTAGATCACATTTTACCTTGAAACCATCAGAACTTTTATTTAAACCTCAAATTGACTAACAGCTCTTCCAGGTTTTGTAAAGACAAGGGAAAAAAACAATTTCTTCCTGTTTCCAATAGCAGAAAATGTTTTTGAATGCATTTTATATCCCAGGACTTTCTGTCCAGATCCCCCCTGACGATGGCTCCGTGGCGCCTGTGCTGGAGGCGGCCGCCGCCCCCCCGCCCGCCGCCCCCATCGTGACCCCGCAGGTGTCTGAACCCCCAGACTTTTTTTTTTATTTTATTTTTTTTAATTTATTTCTTTAATCAGGACAGTGCACATTAATGAACAATCTCATACAGATTGTAATTGAGCCAGATTCTAGCATAGTTGCTAGTTTACATCTGTCGTCCTGAGGCAGGGAGACCAAACAACACCAAATCACAAAATACAAAATCAGTCCAAACACACGTTCACACAATGACATTACAAAATTAAAATGAATTCAATTCAATTTTATTTACATAGCGCCACATCACAACAGCAGTTGTCTCACAGCGCTTTCCAAACAGAGCAGGTCAGACCCTACTCTGAAGTTAACTACAGAAACCCAACAATTCCCACTGAACCTCAGTTCTGTCCCAGTGCCCCGTTTGAGCTCATGACGTTTCCATCCCGGGCCTTTTCAGGTTCCAGTTGACAGCATCTCCGCGGCAGACGTTCCGGCTCTGGACATGGCGTCCGTCCTCGGTCAGGCGGCGCCCGACGCCCCCCCCACGGCGTTGGACTCCATCCCCACGGCGGTCGACGTCCTGCAGGCCGTGGCGGCCGAGCCCCGGCTGGCCGAGCTGGGGCTGGCCGCGAACACCCCGGTGGGCCTGATCCAGAACATGTTGGAGTTCTTCCACATGGACCTGGGCCTCCCCTGGTGGGGCGCCATCGTCGTGGGTGAGCAGTGTCCCTTTCTAAACTCCCACAGACCAAACTCTCCACAGAGCAGCTCCTATCCTGACTCCTCCCCAGACCTCTGGAATCGGTTGTCAATAGTATTGATACTCAAAAAAGTATCGATACTAAAACGTTGTATAAACGTTGTATACCATACTCATTTTCAAAAGTATCGATACCACCCCCCCCCATTCCTCCTCCTTATTTATCTATCTATCTATCTATCTATCTATCTATCTATCTATCTATCTATCTATCTATCTATCTATCTATCTATCTATCTATCTACGTTGTTTATGATCATTAATGTGACATTAGTCTTGAATTGCTAGCTGCGGCTAATGGATAATAATAACACGCTAACATTAATGCGGGCCACCGGCCACCATAACATCAGTAACAGGTCAGTTTGAAACCAAAGACGCTAACCTGTCCAAATTCAGTTAAATTTGGGGGTCTTCGTTTTTATCCTCGTGGTATCGAAAATGGTATCGAGTATCAAATATTTTCCTGAGTATCGGTATCAAGTTGAACATTATCGTGACAGCCTTATTTTTTTTTAAAATTCATTTATTTGTTTATTTGACAGGGACATTACAATTAAACTTTGCAACCAAACAGGTGGCCGATGTCCAAGTACATAAGGCTTGTAGCCATGGGCTAATTTGCAGCCTTCGTCCCTGGTTAGGCTTTTAAAAGGTGTTAGCATTAAGGGGGAGGGAGGTTAGCAACGCAACGACACACAGATGCATAAGAAACAAGAGAAGTTAAAACAAAAACAAAAAAATGTACAGTACAAGCCAGTTTAGTGCTCACACTCTTGATTGTCGTTGAGCCATTTTTTTCAATCTTGTGGAGAAAAGTCGAACATCAGTCTGTGACTTAGTTTCTGGACCCTCTACTTCTCTTTCTGAGCTTCCCTCTATCTCCTCCTGTCTCCACTAACTGAGTGGGTTTTTTTTCTCTGTGCAGGAACGGTTCTGGCCCGCCTGGCCGTGTTTCCCGTCATCGTGAAGGGGCAGAGGGAGGCGGCCAAGCTCAACAACGTGCTTCCCCAGATCACCAAGCTCACCAACAGGATGAACGACGCCAAGCAGAGCGGGAACAAGTTTGAATGTGAGCTCCTCCTCCTCCTCCTCCTCTTCCTCTTCTGTCCTCTGGCCGCTGCTCACCGGCAGCTGCCTCTGCTTCTCCAACAGTCGCCAAGGCGTACTCCGACCTGAACCTGTTCCAGAAGAAGCACGACGTGAACCCTCTGCGTGGCTTCCTGGTCCCTCTGGTGCAGGTCGGTTTAATTCAATTCAATTCAATTTTATTTATATAGCGCCACATCACAACAACAGTTGTCTCACAGCGCTTTCCAAACAGAGCAGGTCAGACTCTACTCTGAAGTTAATTACAGAAACCCAACAATTCCCACCATGAGCAAGCACTAGGCGACACAGGCAAGGAAAAACTTCCTTGCCTGTGTCGGTTTAGGATCCGTTTTAGGATCCGTTAACCTTCCATCTTCCCATCCATCTTCACCCGACCCAGTTAGATTAGAACTAAACTCTTTAAGCTGAACTTTCTGGGAGCTCAGATGCAGATGAGCATGCAAATCCAAATGCTGACACCTTGTGTCCGGTTACGGCCAGGAAAAGACAGCTTATTGTCCTAATACGTTTCCTTTGTGCTTTTCATTTTAAACGCCAACATCAGGGCTGTTAGATGCCTGATGGGGTCACCTGAGAGCTTACAGCACAAATAGACTACTAGATGTGTTATAAATCTTCAGAAATATAATTTCTGTATGTAATTATTATGAATTATTCTAGTTATAAACATTAGAAATGCTTTTTAAAAAAAGGCCACATGAACATTCTTTGGCCCTGAAGCTCAGTTTAGAGTTTTTAGTTGTAAGAAAAACCATTGACCTTTGACCCTAAACACTGTAAAAACAGCCTGTGGATCCTTTCCTGCTGTCTTTGGTTCACAAAGGAGCCCCGAACAGTTGGATTTAAAGGCCTTTTCCGTATCCTGCTCCAGCTCCTGTGAATGTTTATTTATTTATTTATTTATTTAATCAGGACAGTGCACATTAATGAACAATCTCATAAAGATTGTAAATGAGCCAGATTCTAGCATAGTTGCTAATTCGCATCTGTCTTCCTGAGGCAGGAAGACAAAACAACACAAAATCACATGATACAACATCAGTTAAAACAGAGAGACACACGTTCAGACGACGACATTACAAAATTAAAATTAGTGATTGCATGACTGGGAACTTTTGAGAAACAGTTTAAGGTGCTTTTTAAATGTGTACAAAGTGGGACCTTCCCTGATGTTTGTTTGCTCCCCATGCAGGCGCCCGTCTTCATCTCCTTCTTCATCGCCCTGAGGAAGATGGCGTACCTCCCGGTGCCTAGCTTGCAGACGGGGGGGGCGCTGTGGTTCACCGACCTCTCGGCGGCCGACCCTTTCTACATCCTGCCCTTCGCCGTCACCGGGACCATGTTCTTCATCCTGGAGGTGAGCCTCCGCCCGTAAAAAACAACTAAAAAATGAGTCGGGTTTCCGACCCGGTGTTCTGTCAGACCAGCATACCCCGTCAGACCAGCATACCCATAGTCAAAACGCATGCGCGTGCGTCAGACTTTCGTACGGGGTAAGGTAGTCTGACAGTATACTGTAGGTGTCAGATTAGCATACCCCGTCAAAAGGTTGTAGTTGAAGGTAAACACACAAACTTACCAGAAAACCACACCGAAAGTCAAGTACTTTGTTTATTTATGGGTGATGTAATAAACGAAAAGTTTTAGTCGGAGGTAAACAGAATTTAGTTCCGAGGGCTAAGTATGAGGATCTGACGGGCTAGGTATGACATCTGATCAGATCAGCATACCTAGCCCGTCAGATCAGCATACTTAGCCCGTCAGAT